GTGTGTGTGTGTGTGTGTGTGTGTGCGTGTGTGCGTGCGTGTGTGCGTGCGTGTGCGCGCGTGTGTGTGTGTGTGTGTGAGAGAGAGAGAGGATATTAAGGGAAGTGTGAATCTCTCAGAATCGAACCCACGGTAAAAAAAAGCCCTGAAGTTTCTCTCAAAATCAAGGCAAACTAAGGCCCCAGAGTACACAAAATCTGCAGAAGTAAAAATTACATAAGAAATAGTGAACTGAAAAGCATCTGCATGATGTGAGTGTGGATGTACGTGTGTCCTTCGTTCTCCGAAGAACCAATTGCTTTTTCATAGAATAATGGAGTTGGAAGGGGCCGATAAGGGCACCAAATCCAACCCCTACACACTGATGTTCCTAATTTTCCTGCATTTTGGTTGGCTCCTTTACCTTCATCTCCTAAAATTCAGTTCTGCATTGGTAGATGGCACGTTAGTAGAAAAAGTGCACTGCACCCCATTTCCAGACACATATGTCTAAACTTTCCATTTTACTAAATACACAATTGTTCTTTTTGATCTGCCCAAGTCAGGTGCGGGGAGAAAATGTACTGCATGAGAAAGAAAACAGTTTCCACTTTGCCCAAATAAGTAGACACATATTAATGTCTGTTAGAACTCTCCTTCAGCTTTATCTATCAACTCTGCAAGAACAAAAGATAATGGGAACAAAGGATTAAGGAAAAAGTGTTGAAAGCAAAGAAAATAATCTTTTGTTTACAAGACATACTGGTTGAAAGACTGACAGACAATAGTCTCTTTCAATCCTGGGAAATAGGAGTGATAATTTATTACCAGACCCAGAGAGAAGATGCTGAATAATTAACCAGTATTAGGGACCGAGTGTAATCAGAAAAGTCTTGGTTAGAAGTTGAATATAATTATCTCTTTTTTGCCTCTGAAATGCAAAGTTGAACTCCACCTAACACTCTCCAGACACTTTCTAGTCCATCTTAAACCACATTTAGTAATCTAGTATTTTTCATTTCTTAAAAAAAAAAAAAGTAGTTAAATGTTTATAAGGACAGATAAACTAGAGAGCTTATAATTGTACCTGGCCACAGAGCTGTATTCAACAGGGTGGATAAAAATCAGTGATTTAAAAAAATATCAAATAAATTTAATTCACAATTTAAATCATGATTTAATTTTTTAAAATTATTTCTTTATTTACATGGTCAAAAATTCCCATTTTAAAATCGTAAATTGATTTAAATCAAATCCACTCTGGAATATTGTCACTCCTCTATCACAAAACTTCTACTGTGAACAGAAATCCTTGTGCAGATGTCAAATCAAGCACTTGCACAAGCCATTGCAACTTCACTGTACTAGGTGATGCTTATGCTAATTGTTTTAATTGTACCAACAGCTACCAGACTAATGTGCAATTACTAGAGGAACGCAACTGCTCTTTTTCTGCTAACATGACACTGGAGAACAGTCATAGGTATTTCTGACCAAGTTGTCCCAACAGCTGGCATATAAACATATCGATTATACAAAATTACAGAAGGATTAGACAAGTGCCCAGGCTTATTTAGAAAACAAACCTAAAAAACATTATCTTTGATAACTGTAAGGCAGATGCCCATGCAGAAGCAGAAGTTCTAAGGGAAAGGCTCAAAACAGAAGGCCATTACCACCCTTCAAGCCGTTCTTGTGAACTTTTGGAAATGTCTCACTGACCAGTTTTAAAAACAAAATGCTTGACTAACAAACCATGTCCTGATTCAGCAGCTCTCAAGGCTAGAGAACTGCAAAACAAGCCACTGTACAATTAAGTGATTTTTCCAATGTCTATCTCAACAGCTACAATCCTGTGCCAGTCACACGCATGTAAACACTACTGCCATCAGTAGCGATGCCTTGTGTTAGAATCAGAAATATTCACATGCTACAGCAGGCTTGTCCAACCCGCTGCCCGAGGGCCACCACAGTGCAATTTTTTATTTTTAAAGAAATTCCAAAGTTTCAAGTTACACTGCCGGCCCTTGCGGCCGGAATGTGGCCGGGGCATGTCACAACAGTAGAGGGGGAGAGAGGGAAGGAAGGAGTGGGAGGGGAGGGGACAGGGGGGCTGCGTGACTGCATTGCACCATCCCTGTCAATAGGTGGACCCCCCCCAGCCCCATAAAGCCGCCAGAGTCGAAGCTGGCAGCCTCTGCTGTCTGAGATCACAGCTGCCGGTAAGCGCACTTGGAGCAGGGCTGCGGAGGATGGCTAGGGCTGCCCCCTCATGAGGCCCAAACCAAATGTATGTGCGACCCAAACCAAATTTTCATCTTCTAATGTTGCCCAGGGAAGGTGAAAAGTTGGACATCCCTGTGCTACAGCATCTGGACTTTCCACACAAACTCCTCTGATTAAAAAATAAGCTCTGTTTTAATATAATTTTAAGAATCATTAATCCTGAAAGAGAACATAGAAAATTAAATAAATGAGAATGTAAAAACTAAATTATTAGAATGTGATAAAAGAATATTAGAAGAAAAGATTAAAGAAGAAGAAATTGCTGAAGTCATTAATAAACGGAGAAATAGTAAAACACCAGGCCCTGATGGATTGGGTCCAGAATATTATAAACATCTTAGTTCAATATTGATACCTAACCTAAAAATGTTTTATAATAAAATAAGGAGAGACAATGCCACCTTCTTGGAAACACTCATTAACGATTCTTATTCCAAAACCCAAGAAGGATCTAACAGATCCAGGATCTTATAGACCTATATCTCTAATAAAAAGATGCTAAGTTTTTTACTGCTATATTAGCAAATAGATTAAATAGATTTATAGCAAATTATATTAAAGAGGATCAATGTGGCTTTATAAAGGGAAGACAAGTGGCTAATTTAACTAGACATTTTGAACATTATATATGAGGTAGAAAAGGAAAAAACAAAGGCAACTTATTTATCACTAGACATATTTAGGGCCTTTGATTGTGTACAATGGCCAACATTAAAGCTGCTTATAAATGGCTGAGGATTTGGTATAAGATCTATTGGGGTTATAGATCAATTATATTCAGAAAATACTTCAGAAGTAATAGTTAATGATGGTTTAACAGAGCAATTTTCTAGGCCGAGGTACAAGACAAGGCTGTCCACTTTCACCAATATTGTTTTGTATGATTATAGAACTGTTTGCTAATGCAATAAAAATGATGAATTAATTAAAGGATTAGGTAAAAATGATACAAGTAAGATTAATTTATTTGCTGATGATTCATTAGTAACTATTAAAAACCCATTAGAAAATATGGATAAAATTAAAAATCATTTACGAAAATTTGGGGAAATAACAGGATTAACTATTAACTGGCAAAAAACAGAAATAACAATGTTTAATTACAATAAATATGAATAAGAAACGTTTGTAAATAAATATGGTTTTAAAATGTATAATTAGATTAAATAATAGTTAAAGTGACTCAAAAATTAAAGGAGCAAAATTTAAACAAATTAAAAAGTGATATTAAAGATAAATTGCAGGAGTATTCTAAAATGAAACTATTGTGGTTTGGGAGAATCGCTATGATCAAAATGAAAATATTACCAAAAATTACTTTTTTATTCAGGATGCTCTCAATACAATTACAGTGGGGTCTCGACTTACGAACTTAATCCGTATTGGAAGGCAGTTCTCAGGTCGAAAAGTTCTTAAATCGAATCTGCATTTCCCATAGGAATGCATTGAAAACCATTTAATCTGTATCTGCTCTTTTCGTCCATAGAAACTAATGGGAAGCTGCTATTCCGCCTTCTGCCACTAGAGAGGGATATTTTTTTCTTTTTTCCTTTTAACCTAAGATGACTTAGCTTTAAAAAAAAGGGAAAAAAAGAGTTCGTAACTCGAATCTAAGTTCATAAGTCGAGTCCATATATTCCTATGAGAGCGGTTCGTAAGTCGAAACGTTCGTATGTCGAGCCGTTCGTAAGTCGAGACCCCACTGTAGAAGAAGATTTTAAGTATTGGCAGGGATTAATTAATAGATTTTGTAATCATGGTAAAAAATCAAGAATAAATAAAAGATATTGGTATAAGGCTCAAAAAATGAAGGTTTAGGTATTTCTAATATAAAAAATTGTTACACAGCGAATAAACTAAGATTTATTGGAGATATATATAACAAAGGAAGCTTAATTTGGTGGGATATGGAATCCTCAGGAATAAATGGGAATATTGAAAAATATTTGTTTAACGTAAAAAGAAATACAATAAATCAGGTGAACAACCCTTTTTAAAAAAACATGTTAAATGTCCGGAACAGATATATAAAAAAGTTATGTCCCTTTACTTCACCACTAAAATTTGTGACTGAAATAGAAAATTTCCCAGCAAACTTGAAGGGTTTAGCTGATTTGTTTAAGGATAAAAAAGTTGCCAGACTGAAGGATCGGAGGATTAAAATGAGATCGAAGGATCAGATTATAGTTAAACTTCAAACTAATAAACTATCATGGTATAATTATATCTAGTTAGATAGTTGGACAAATGAATGGTTGAAAACTAATGGTAAATGTAGAGAATGTAGTAAGTATGAACAATTTCTATTATCACATGAAGACATGCAGAAAGATGCTTTGAGGAAGGGAGTAGTAAGTAGAATTTATAACCTAATTTTGGAACAAGAGGTAAAAGAGACTGAAATCGAAGGTTTGAAATCAATTTGGGAACAAGATTTACAGAAATTAAAACAGAGCATTGGACAAAAAATTTGGAAGATGAGAGTTTTAAGATTAATGTTGGTAAGAATAAAGGAATTTTTAAAAAATTAGCTTAAGGTGGTACATGACTCTGGTGAAATTGAACATAATAAATTCAGACTATTCTAAGGCCTGTTGGAAATGTGATGAAGAAATTGGCAGGTATTATCATATGTTGTAGGAGTGTAAATTGATTCAGAAATTTTGGAAATTGTTTTTTAAGGAAATATGTGATATATTTGGAAAAGATATCAAACTTAATTCTAAAAATTGCTTTGCTCAGAGTGGTCTATTTGATCAGATGGGCAGGATACAAATCAAATAAATAAATAAATAAATAAACAAACAAATTTTTGATAAGATAGAACTTGATTATTGCTCAAAGGAATTGATTTCTAATTTTATGACAATGACAAGTGCTAGAATCTTAATAGCTAGATTCCTGAAAGATAAAAATGATATTAAATCTGAAGATTGGTATAATGAAATATGGGACATTGCGTTAAATGATAAATTGACTACTGAATTTAAGATAAAAGAGGGGAAATAAGTTTAAATATTTTTATGCAATTTGGGGTAGATTTATTGAATTTGCATTAGTGAAAGGAAAGGAGAAAGCCTCTGAGCAACAACCAATACAATTTTGGAAAGGAGATTTGTAATAAAAGTATGGCTCCAAAGGATCGCGTGGGTATGGGGGTGCACTGTATTTTAGATTGTATTAATAAGTATTTTGTATTCTTGTATTTGTTTTGGAAATTTAAAAAAAATTAAAAAGAAAGAATAATTAACCTTTACTTTTTTATTGAATGCTTCCTCCTCTGCATTGTAACTAACTCTGAATGCTACCTGGCTTTCTTGTACATTGTTGTTATAAACTTTGACATATCCAAGCTCAATTACAGTAAACACATGCTTAGCTGACCTCTTATGTCAGCACAGAGAGCAACAATATGTTCTTTGTCAACAAGGGAACATGATTTACCTGAAGTGACCTCTAGATCACATGCAGATTTATTTATTTCTTCAACTTTTATACTGCCCGATTAGTGCAAGGTACTACTCTAGGCAGTTCACAAAGAAACAAATAAGGCAAATAAAATATTTAACAATAAAAATAAACAGTAAAGAGAAAAAATAATAAAGGCAAAACAAATCAATAAATGACATGAAACAAACCCACCAAGAGCATCAAACAATAGAAAGACCGGCAGAACAACTTTGACAAATTCATTAGAGGATGTCATTAAAACCTCATTAAAAAACATCAGTGTAAGCCACTAGTTCTTAACCTTGGGTTACTCAGGAGTTTTGGACTGCAACTCCCAGAAGCCTTCACCACCAGCTGTCCTGACTGGGGTTTCTGGGAGTTGCATCCGAGTAACAAAGCATCCGAGTAACAAAGGTTAAGAACCACTGGTGTAAGCAACCTCATAAAGGTTAAGAGGGAGGGGCCAAGTGCAGCTCAACAACAAGCTCATTCCAAATGACTGGTGCCACGGCCAAGAAGGCTATAACCCTCAGCGGCCTTAGGGATGGAAATTAAACAGATTTAAATGGAAAGTAGAAAACAGTAATAAACCAGGCTGAATTTAAAGCATAATCCATGGTTTAGTACTATCTAAATCAAGTCTCAACATTAACCATGATTAATGCATGTTGTGTTGTTAAAATTATGCACTAGCAAAGTAACTGACATTTACTCCACTGTTCATTATTATTCTCTCTGTTCGCTTGACTTTTTGCCAGCTTGTTAATAGTGTTGTGTATGTTTATATCTAAGTCTGCTAGCTTTTAAGTAACAGTATTTCACAGTTCAGTTCTCTATACATTTACTAGGAACCACAGAATCATAGAATAATTAAGTTGGAAGGGGACTATAAAGCCCAACCCCCTGCTCAATGCAGGAATCGAAATAAAAAAATGTATGTCAGGTGGTTGTCTAAACCACTGGTTCTTAACCTTGGGTTACTCAGGGGTTTTGGACTGCAACTCCCAGAAGCCTTCAACACCAACTTTGCTGGCTGGGGTTTCTGGGAGTTGCAGTTCAAAAACATCCAAGTAACAAAGGTTAAGAACCACTGGTCTAAACTTCTTTTGAATGCCTCCAGTATTGGAGCACTCAACACCTCTCGAGGTAGTTGTTTCCATTAGCTATGAAGATTTTCCTGATAATCAACCGAAATCTGGCTTCCTGTAACTTGAGCCCATTGTTGTGTGTCCTGGACTCCAGGATGGTCGAGAATGTGCTTAATGAAATGGGTTAGTTTGGGGTCACAGTGATACAGAAGTGTATTGGAACGTCTATAAAATTAGATTAAGAAAGTTTAAGAAAGTCTATATAAAATAATAAGAAAAAATGGATTGATACTTACACTGTATAGCTCGAAGACGGGGAATTATTGGGGGACTACTTGGTGGACTAGAGCTGTTGCTGTTTAAGCTTCTTCGCTTATCTAGATTTGGAGAAGCCTGCACTGTTATCTTGTGCTGAAAATCTATAATAAAGGAATATGTTCAATTTCAGCATTTCTCAATAAAAATTAGGACTCCAGCTTTTGTACCAATTTATAAATAAGGATGTACATGGCAGCTGCCCTTTTGTTTTTGAAGTATAGCTTAACTGTAGTATAACCACAAAATTAAGTACTATTATATCTAATAAAAGACATATAACAAAGGAATTCAGCATTTTCATAGCACAATCCTTGTTTACTGAATAATATGTTCCACTGAGTTAAAGGGACTGTTTTCATGTATATGTGCTTTGAAATGCTTTTTGTCTTTGTAACAACCATATGAGGCAGGATAGTCACCTAGGGAGTGGCACGGTTGACTGTGATTTGAATCTGTTTCTCCCATAGCCAAACCTACCAAACCTCATGAAGCATGGAACTGCCTTTAGTAGTTACGTCCTATTATGCTATACACAAATATAGCATTCCAACATTATCTGAATGGGAAAATATTCTGCCTTATAAGAAAACAGCAATCCTATTAACTATAGCACTTTCTGTCAACCTTAGCATACAATGTTCAAGTTGTACGTCTTAACATACAATGTACAAGTTGTACGTTTTAACATACAATGTTCAGGATGTACGTCTTAACATACAGTGTTCAAGTTGTACGTCTTAACATACAATGTTCAAGTTGTATGTCTCATTGAAAAGAATCACCAGACAAAAAGAATGAACAATTGGCAATGAAGTACCACTACTGAGAAAGATGGATAAGAATGGATTTCTTGGACAGCCATAAAACAGAGGCAATATTTAACAGGAAGAGGAAAACATCTGATTATTTAATCCACATTCTTGGAACTATTTAACAACTAACTTGGCTCTGAAGGGAACATTACTGTGGTTGTCTTAAAGTCACTTTTCCTGTCTTTCTGCCCATCTTTGATATATTTGATTTGTTTTTGTACCACCCAGAGTGGATTTATCTAGATGGATGGTATAAAAGTCAAACAAACAAACAAACAAGTAAGTAAGTAAATAAGTAAGTCTCTAAGCACAGCAGAATTAATGTTGTAGAGTCCGTTCTGGTTGCTGTTACACACAAAGTGTTAGTGCTGAGGATATAGGAAGGCTAATGTTAGGGAGTGTGGGATAAGAGTGTATGCTATTTCACTCTTATTTCAAACAGAAAAAAGTAGTATTAGTCTATACAAACAGAGAGGTTAGGGATCTGGATATGTGCACAAAAGCACTACAGTATATGCATGAATCAGGAAGGTAATTTTAACCAATACAGTATTACATAATGTCCAAATTCTTGTTGCACTATTATGCAAAAAGTGTGACTTTTGGACATCAATTGCAATAAGTTAAGATAACTCTGTATTAAGTTATAAAGTTATTAAACCACTTAGATAGCCTTTTTGGTTATGAAACAGGACATAACTAATCTAAATAAAGAGATAATATAAATATCATCAAGATGTTAAACTCCATCACAGCTGAAACTGAACTGAAACTTGAGATGTAATTCAAAATTTTGCATTTTTATCTACCATGGCTCATATTTATATTCTAAATTACCATTAACTTCCAGAGAGGCAGGGTTAGTTATTTTTTAACTTTAAATAGTAGAGCCTGCTCTATATACTATCTTTCACAAACCCATAATGGATGATTTGAATTGAACACAAATGTAATGGGGTGACTGGCAAGGGAATCCAGAGCTTCTTCAGTCCAATGTATTTGCTTCCAACAGTTTGATTTGTCTTCATTAAGACGAACTGACAGAAAGCCACAGCAGAACACAAACAAACCAGTAGTGACTATCTATTTCTTAGATATTACTAGTAATGGCTCATTTTAATGAATAAGATGATAGTACTGAATTTAATCTCTGATTGCTATCTTTGAATAGTTCAGTCAGAAAATTAAAATCTGTAAATGTATTATTCATCTTAAGTGAACTCACACATGAGAGAAGGGAAAGGACAAACCTGAAGGTAGACTAATTCGATGCCCATCCTTAAGTTTTAATCTGCTTTTTTTAAACTTCCCCTTCCTCTTTTTCACATTGGGTTTCTCTTGATTCAACTGGAATATCAAAATATTTAATTCTCGTTCCAATACATCAATTTCCCGTTCTGCCAGCTGCTGTTCCCGCCGTTTCAGCAACTCTTCTTGAGACTTTTGGTGAAGAGCAGCTCTTGTTAATTCTTCTTCTCGTGACCTTAGCTCCTAACAACAGTACAGACATAATGGTTAGGACTTAATCTTCTGCCTTATGATGAAAGCAGTCCTGAGCCTTTATGGCATTGCATAAGCAGCAACTGAGCAAATAAGAATAATGAACAGTTTTTTTGAACCTTAAGCCAATGAAATAATTGTTCTTGTTTCTCATTATGGACAAACTACTACTAATTTTTTTTTTAAAAAAATGTTTCCCCCTCTTTAATTACCTATTTAGGAAAACTTTAAGAATAGCATAATCAGTTATGCTATTCATCAATGTTTTAAATTTATAGGGACTGTGTTAGGAAAGGGTCGGGAGAGAAAGACCTGCCAGCTGTCCCTTCTTCCTTGGAAGACAAGGGACCTTCACCTCATGATAATCCCAGGCCAGGCAAAGAGGGAGGAGAAAGAACAATGAGATGGTGGAAAACCACCACCCCTGGCAGAAACAAAAAAGGCAGGAAGGAAACAAAGAAAGGAGGAGGGGAGGGGAGAGAATATATAGGAGGGTGAAGGAGAAGGAAGAGTAAGTTGAGGCCGGGTGGACAGAGGAGGAGATGAATGAAAACAAACTCCTTGAGGAATGGCAATGGATTAATAAACTGAACCTCTGGGTGGTGCAGTAGGAAAGAATGAAGATACTGAAGGAGAAAGCAGAGAGGCAAAGAGCAGCAGGGGTTCCTAAAATCACCCTATTTGGACAAAATGGAAAGCTGAGAGAGAGGGCAGAAAGGGAAAGGAGGGTTAAAGAGAAGGATAAGAAAAGGTGACTAAGATCATGGAACCACTTCCCACAGGCTGGACCTCCTGGAGATGAGGGAAACAACCCAAAAGAAGAAAGGGAGTCAAGAGAAGAATGGTGGGAACAAGCCCCAATGCCATTGTCATGGGATATGCCAGAGATGAAGACTGTCTTGAGGCTGGACCCAAAGAAAGAGCTGTTGTGGCATGATGAAAGAGATGGATATAAGGAAATTATGGGAAAGTCGTTGAGCCCTTTCCTCTTCCTTTTAGAGGGGGAGAAGCTAGTTTTTAAGCACATTCCCAATGTTGAAAGGGATCTTTTTTGTTGTTAGGCATCCTTCAGTCTCGAGAGACTATGGTAACGTGCTCTGAATGGAGGACTTGGAACAGCATCTAGTGTGGCTGAGAAGGCCAATTTGAGAGTGACAATCCCTTCCACACTGAAGACAAATACAATCGGTCCCCTGTCCAGCTCCCTGATTTTGCTGCTTTTGGGACTGCCTCTTCGCCTCGGCCTGCTGGATAAGGGTCTCTTCAAATTGGGAGAGGCCGTGATGCACCGCCTGCCTCCAGGCTGAACACTCCGATGTCAGGGTTTCCCTTCTGTTGAATCCATTCCTAAGGTCTTCAGATCCCGCTTGCAGATAACCTTGTATCGCAGCTGTGGTCTTCCTCTGGGGAGATTTCCCTGCACTAATTCTCTATACAGGAGATCTTTTGGAATCCAACCATCGGCCATTCTCACAACATGCCCAAGCCAACGTAGACGTTGTAGACGAAAGGGATGTGCAAACAATAAAGCTAATGTATTCAAACAAGAAAATGGCATGGACTTGTCTGTGATGAGGGGGCCAGAAATGGGGGGGGGGCAATCCTAATCCTCATAGGTTGCAGTTTCCATCCACTGATTTGCCATATGGCTCATGGAACATTTCTGAAGGCACTGAAAAACTATAAACTACATATGTGTCTGAAAAATGTGACAGATATGAAACTTGAAATCACAGAAGCAATGACAAAAGACAGAACATTTGTAAACATTTGTTATCATCAGATTGTTTTGATATAGGCATATGATATTTCCCCTGCCCTACGCCCCCAGTATCCTGAAAGCCATTACATTATCAGAAACCTGTATGGGTTGATTTCATCCTGGACCCTGTCATATCATATGAACAAACACCCCTTTTTAACATAATGGCAGTGAACTATACAAATTAGAGGCAATGATAGTGAATGATGCACACATACAAAAAAGCCAATGTAAAAGAGTTAAGAATGATTTAAGTCTTCAATGTGCAATTCAAAAGTTTAATATTCTCCCTTTTTCGAAGAATTGGGACCCACTTTGCCTAGAAACTATTATCCCACTCTACTTAGAAAATACAACACCACAATCTTAATGTTTCTTCAAAATGAACTTACATTTTCCTTGGTCCTCAGTTCATCAAATATCTGTTGGATTTCAAGTTTCCAGTCATCTTGCATGGAATGAAAAGATTCATGAGGCATCTCAGTTATAACAGCCTCTTCAATGGCGGTAAGTTGCTCCAGGATCAAAGTAAATGATGGCCGGATATGAGGATCCTGGGCCCAGCACTCTAAAAACCCATCAATTACATTAGTCAGAAGATTAAGGAAAAGTACTTGACACTCAGTCTGCTTATAAGAATTAGCATTTATTCTGAAAAATTTATGGATCTGTCACTACCTCCTTTTACATAGGTTCAAGTTCGCTTGGCACTGCTCCTATGCAAACCTCAAAAACCAAACCAAACCAAAACCCAAATCCAATCCCAATCCTACCCAACAGTTTTTTGGTTTGGTTTGGGGTTTTTTTTTTTGTTTTTTTGTTTTTTTGTTTTTTTGGTATATTAGTGTCTGGTTTAGATTGTGAAGAATGGAACTTATTTTTTTTTTGTTTTGTTTTGTTTTGTTTTTTGGTATATTAGTGTCTGGTTCAGATTGTGAAGAATGGAACTTTTTTTTAAAATGTTAGGACAAAAACCTGGAAGTGTCTGGAGAAAAGCAGAATGTGAATCAGGTCAGGAGTACATCATCATAATGTACCATTAAGTCAATTCTGACTTATGGTGACCTTTTCCAGGGTTTCCATTCCTTTCTTCTGGGTGTGTCCTGGGACCCTGCAGCTTGCACAAGGCCACACAGACTGGCACTATTTTGCAAGAGGCACAGTGGGAAACTGAACTCCCAACCTCTGGCTCAGCAACCAGATACCTAAACCACTGTGTTATCCAGTCATTTAAGTGTGACATGTCATTTAAGTCTATCCAGTCATTTAAGTGTAACATCTCTGTGATCCTTTCATTTTTAAAGAAAAGTAGAAGATAGGAAGCAGAACACATATGTATTCTGTAATCACATTGCTTACAAAGTGAACTCATAGTCAAGTTATGTACAATTTGCTGCGTGCAATGGTGGTTGTGTGAGATCATAAGCCCATGTTCCATCACATACTGATTATTCCTATCAGCAAACCAAATAGTCCTATGATGATGAAGAATGGCACACAGAATCTTTTAGTAATAAGCAAACTAGATAAAATCAATGATTTTTTTTTAAAAAAACTGAATTTATTCTACTGAAATTGGATTTTTAAAAATTAATTTGGTTTTATTGTTAAAATGTTTTTAAGGACCTTACATGATGTCAGTTGCAATTTAAAATACAGTGGTGCCCCATTGCTATACGAAACCTTCGCTATACGAAAACATCGCTGTGCAGGTAAGGAAAGCCTATTGGAATGCATTAAACTTAGTTTAATGCGTTCCAATAAGTGTCCAAACTTACCCCTCCAGCGATGTTTTCGCGTCTGGCGGTCATTTTGGAGCCGCCGATCAGCTGATCGGCGGCTCCAAAAGGGCCGCCGGACGCCCCAATCGTCGCAAAGCGAGTGCGGCGACTGGGGCAGATCAAAATCAATGATTTTTTTTTTAAAAAAAATGAATTTATTCTACTGAAATCGGATTTTTAAAAATTAATTTGGTTTTATTGTTAAAATGTTTTTAAGGACCTTACATGATGTCAGTTGCAATTTAAAATATGTTAAAAAAACCTCGATAGAACAAGGATTTTGGCTATATCTACGTTAAGCGAGGCACCACTGTATGTTAAAAAACCTCAATAGAACAAGGATTTTGGCTATATCTAATATAGATATAGCCAAAATCCTCTTGCATAAGTTGTGCCAACCTAAGAAAAATTGCATATTCTATAGAAGCAGATGGTTGGTAATTAAAGAGCTCCTCACTTCATCCCCACATTGCTGATAATCTCATTGTGAGTGAGAAAAGTGGGGTGGATTTGCACACAACTCCAAAGGTAGAGCTCTTTAATTAGGAGAACTCTAATTCCTGCAAGAATCCAAATGGCAATACTCTTTTTGGATTAATGCATGAATTAGGCCACAGTCATACCAGCAAAATGTTCCCCTGTGGTTACGCAACTTTTAATCGTGTTCCTGTCATGCTTTGTGGTCACGTAGCATTTTTACAGGATGTGTGTCCCAATGTGTTTTCAGGTTATTGAGTAATTTTCTTCCAGTTCAATAAGCACCTAGATCTTCTGGCTAACATAGTTTGACAGAAGTTAATCAATGCATTGACACAAATGCTGCAGGGCGGGGATTAAAACCAGTTTTAAAGGACATGGACAATGACAGTAGTTCAAAAAAGATGTGATAAGACTGCTCACATATGCAGCAATGCAACTTTTTTTTTTTAAAATATCCATCACATAAAAAAGTAGAAGCCTCTGGCCAAGTGAGAAACAATCAGCATTTAGAATGCTTGCTGAGTAAATGATTGGCTAATGGCCGTGTGTCATGTGACTGCAAATCTGTCATATAAATTGAATGGGAGATAGGAAGGCAGCATTTAGCTCGTGTAATGGAGGCCTTAGAGTGCTGCTAATTAAAGTGCTTGGTTCAATTTGGGATCATATTAAAAGTCAGTTAATTCACATGCAGTAAGATTTAGTTTCATCAATGAGGATTTATTTATTTATTTAAATTATCTTTTATCTTGCCTTTCTCCTTAAAAAAAGAGCTTTATTTATTTATTTATTTAAATTATCTTTATCTTGCCTTTCTCCTTAAAAAAGAGGCCAAAGTGCAGAATCTTTAATTAGAGGCAATCTACCACTGTAGGTTTCACTTACGCTGGTATAAGTTACAAAAAGGGATTTTGGTCAATGTATTATGCAAGCTTTTAAAAGAAGTTTCATAAGTAGGGTCCAACAGTACTTGGACTGTTGTTTCAATTTTATGGAGTTTCACAGAATTCTATACAGATGATTTAGGTCAATTTTTCTATCTTACCTAGCACCAGGTCTACTAAACATCATGAGAACAATCTGCCATTCACAGACCTGGTTTGTATCTTCAAAGAGTTATCCCTGGAGCTTTTTATATATCCTTTCCGACTAGCAGTTTAACTGCAATAGTGAAGTCTGGCCATGAGCTCCAGGCTGTGGAAAATTTCACCAAATGTCACCTTGCTAATGCACTTTCTAGTTTACTTGCATAGCTTTAAGGAGCAACATTTTCTTAATTGCACCTGAAGAAGTGGGCTGGAGCCCACAAAAACAAAAGCTGAAGAAAATTTGCTACACTTATTTATTTAATTAATTCCTGCCTTTCTCCCCAAAAGGACCCAAGGTGGCTTACATCATTAATAAATTATACTTTAAGGTGCCAATAGGCTCTTTGTCCTTGGAAAAGACTTGGTTAGATATCTTTCCCTAAATATTTGCTAAAGAAGCTACTGTGGCATATTGGCCAAAAGGTTGTGATTTCATGGGGAACTCCACACAAACCTTCACTCAACCTTGCAAATTACAGGGCAACTTTAAGAAAATCACCCTCTTTCAGTCTAAGGTACAAGATAGACTGTTGTAAAGTTACACTTATTCCAAGCTCTTTCTGTGGAAGGGCAGAGTATGACTTAGTGAACAAAACAAGCAAGCACTTTCAAAGATGAGTGTAGCTTTAGAAATGGACTATGTGCTCTAGTGGTAAATGTGTTAAATATTTTTACTAAGGGACTGCAACGAAATGAGAACCAGTGTTTTCCACACTTGGAGATAAGTTAGCAGAATTCCTAATGAAATGCCAGAACAAAAAACTTACACACATTATAGACAACACAGAATTAATTTTATAGTAACTGTTTTAATAAGCAGCACAAGTACCTTTCATTAGTTTAGCAAATGGTTCAGGACAGGTGGATGGAATGGGCAAAATAAGCTTATTGACAGCAACGCCGTAAGCCACAGCAAGACCATCAATGCCACGATAAGGAACTTCTCCCGTAAGTAGTTCCCACAGCAATACGCCATAACTATAAATAAATTTTTGAACAGTTAAATGTGTTTAATGTTGATACATGGCATACTGAAGGGCATATAAAGGGCAGCAGCCCTATCTAGAAAGAACATTCACTAAAACAGACAGACAGACAGACAGATAAATAAATAGATAAGCAAACAAACATCCATAACAGTCTAACAAAGACTATAGCATCACAACACTGTCTACCTTCCAGCACTGGTTGTGATGATAGTGCTACCCATGCTTGTAGCAAAATAAAATGCTTCACAACTATTTGGAAGTCAATGCAAAGGCACATGCACAAAGAAGGATTTTGTGAAGAATAAGCAGTTCCAGCATATTTGTTTCCAGAAACTTGCACCATGCAGGCTCATTAAGAATGAGCAGCACTCAGAAGAAGTAATTGGCTGATCCCTATTTATCTACAAGCGTTTAACCTAAATATCTTAAAATGGAACAGACTATTGGGAAATTAATAGTAATAATTATAATTTTTAATAGAAAATTACTGTCTTATTATAAATTTCCTTCCTTCCTTCCTCCCACCCTCCCTCCCTCTCTTCCTTCCACTGCCCATTATTAATCAACAGTGTGAAGGAGCCCTGTGGCACAGTGGTTAAAGTGCAGTAATGCAGGTAAAATTCTGCTCACAATCGTGGATCAGTCCCAGGTAGCCAGTTTCTGACACTGGTAAACTGAGTACCCAGCTTACTGGTGGGGCAACGTGTAGCCTGCACAATTAAAGTGTCAACCATCTAGCGAGTGCTTTAAGCAGTATAGGGCTGTATATAAGCAGCACACTTTGCTTTTATTCATCCCACTATTTCAGAGAATGGGTGGTGACTACATAAAATAAGCCAGAGTACTTTGCACAGAATCCCACCCTCTAAACTATTTTTGTTAGTTACAGGCTTTTTTCGGGGGGAAGTATTTTAGTAACAATGGTGTATCTAGGCAAATCAATCCCAATGTTTAGGTAAAACATGGATGTTTCCATTGATAGATGAGGTGACCGACCAGAAAACGGAGAAAGTTATATATAGGTCACTAGCACCCAAGACCATTACTAATTTGGAGCATTATACAGAAAGCCAAACACTAAAGATGTCCTCTTATGCGCTGTTCCTACACCCCAGCCTACACATCGTGAACCATCTGCTCTAGCTGCAGGAACTGTGGAAATCCAATTATCTAGCCCTTTCCCACATTTCATCATTAAGGAACTTGAAAATGTTTTATGTAGTGAGTCAAGGGCTGGGCAGGGATGGGGGCCCAGGATTACAATTATGATTAGATTTATATACCACCCATCTGGCAGCCAGGGCTGCACTAGGTGGTTTACAACAGATAAACAAACAACAGAATAACAAAATAATACATATACAAAGTAATAGTGTTGTATTTTTCTGTTTATAACATGAATAATAATAATAATAATACAAAATTTGGGCATAAATCAAATCTCATAAAGTGCAGTAAAACAAGTACAATACAATAAATTACAGTTAAAAGCATAAAATATGATGATATTTTAGCAAACACTGTTGTAACATACAGCTGTTTGTTCAGGGAAAGAATGCTTAAATAGCCAGGTTTTTAACAGCTTCCTAAATGTGCCCGGTGAAGGGGCCAGGTGGACTTCAGGCAGAAGAGAGTTCCATAGTTCTGGAGATGCCACCGAGAAGGCCCGATTTCTAGTAGTTGTTTTCCAGGCCTCACTCGGGATCAGAACTCTCAACCACCCTGCCTAGGATGATCTTGGAGGGTGGGCAAATCTAACTGGAAAGAGGCACTTGGTCATATATCAAGGTCCCAAACCATTTAGGGCCTTATAGGGTAGTACCATTACCTTGAAACTGGTACGGAAGTGAACAGGAAGCCAGTGTAAGGCAGCCAGGATGGGAGAGATGTGCTGGTATTTTGTAACCCCTCTCAGCAAGCTGGCAGCCATGTTCTGGACCTATTGCAGTCTCTGTAGCAGTCCCAAGGGCAGCCCCATGTAGAGGACATTGCAGTAGTCTAATCTTAAAACTACCAGCACATGAACCGGCATGGGGAGGGACTTGGTGTCAAGGTAAGGGGCACAGCTGGGCAACCCACTTTAGGTGGAAATAAGTGGAAGGGATGACAGATGCTACTTGTTATGCCATTGATAGCACTGGGTCCAGAGGTACACCCAAGTTATGCACCTCATCCTTTATGGAAAGAGTAACACACACATCGAAAGACAGGAAAGCACCCAGACCACAGACACTAGGGACCCCACCCACAGGATTTCTGTCCTGTCTGGGTTCAGCCTCATTCTGTTGTTCCTCATCCATACCAGCACCACATCCAGGCAGCGCTCAAGGGACAGGACAGCATCCACTGCAGAAGAGTGGAAAGAGAAATAGAGCTGAGTGTCATCCGCATATTGGTGACACAGACCTCCAAAAACTCGTGATGACCTCCCCCAGCAGCCTCATATAGATATTAAATAGCATTGGGGAAATGATTGACCCCTGCAGGACCCCACAACTGAGAGTCCATGGAGCGGATAACATCTCCCCAAGCTGAACTTTCTGTGGATGGTCCTCCAGGAAGGATCGGAGCCAGGCCAAGGCCTGACCACCAATCCCCAACCCCGAGAGCCTCCCCAGCAGGATACCGTGGTTGACGGTATCAAAGGCTGCTGAGAGATCAAGGAGGATGAGCAAGGATGTTTTGCCCATCAGCTTCCCTCAGGAGGTCATCTTACAGGGCAACAAATGCCATCTCTGTGCTATGACATGGCCTGAACCTGGAATGGAATGGATTAAGGGCATCGGTCTCCTCCAGGAGAGCTTGAAACTGGCCAGCCACCACTCTCCCCACTAGCTTGCCAATAAAAGGAATGTTGGTGACTGGACAATAGTTGTTAATATCATCAGCCGCCAAGTTGGATTTTTTTTCCGGATCGGTTTAATGGGTGTCTGCTTGAGGGTGAGGGGAATCCTGCCCTCAAGGAGAGACCCATTAATAATAGCCTCCACCCACTCAGTTAACGGCCTGGCTGGGAAGGATCTAGTGAGGAGGAGGTGGCCCTGAGTGATCAAGAACCCTGCAAACCTTTAGTAGTATGTACTAAAATGATTTGTTGATGGATTAATTTAGCTGTAGTTAATTATCATATAATAGAATAATTGATCAATAATAATTTCAAGAGATTTTGACTTAGATTATTAAATTAGATTTAAAGCCAGATTCCAACACACACACACACACACACACACACACACACACACACACACACACACACGCACACTCCATTTTCAGAACAGTCTAGCACACCGGTTGCCTGGGTGCTAGTGAGTAGTAGAAAACAGGGGAAGATGAAGAGAGAGAAAAAGCTTTATGTGACAGGAGTAATATTTCCATGTACAGGCATCCTAGAAAAGAGATGTTGAGGATACTGCAAAGGATGGACAGCTAGCAAGAGCAGAATGGTTAAGTTCCCCATTAGAAACCAAAACATCTACTGTTAAACTCCATCTTTGTATACTTACTTTTATAATATAAGAAATGCATGCAAGATAAAAGGTAAAGAAAAGAAAAGAAATCCATAGGTAAGCTGGTGTTTTAGTAAAATACAAGAAAGATCGCTCTCAGACAACATCACTGTAACAAACATGAGACTTGCAATTAACTTGTACAGGGAAACCATAATCATTTTACTCTACCCACACAAACACACTGACATTAAGTCAAGGGGAACCTATCAGAGCAGCATACTAATTAAAGCTGCAATCCTAAACACACTTGCCTCAAATGTAACCAAAACCAAGTGACTTGTCCCAAGCAAATGAAGGCATAAACATATTTAGGAATGTTCTGTGTTTGAATGATAGGTGTTTCCCTGGCTATTACTAGGAAATATGAGAAGTGTACAATATTATGAGAATAACAAGGGTCCGTTTGTATATTTAAAGATATATTGTATATTTTATCACACAATGGCATTCTGTGATAAAAAAGAAATATTTGGATTTTTGAAACAAATTGCTACACAAAGAGAATCAAAAGCAAATAAGTGTGCACAGCTTGAAAACAGGCTGTCATTACGTTTTCATTTTCTTTTAGGTTCTAGTACTTACGACTGTGGAGGCATTCTTGAAATTAATAATAATGACCTGCCATAAAAATCAATTCTGACTTATGATGACCCCCTTCCAGGGTTTTCTAGTTATAGGGTGTTGAGACATGGTTTACCACTACCTTCTTCATGGAGCATGTTGAGTCTGTGTGGCCTGCCCAGGACTGCACAGGCTGGTAATCAAGCTCCCAATTTTCCACTTTGTAGCCAGGTGCTCCATCTGACTCAGCTATCTAGCTAGCGATATATGAAATTAGGTACAGAAATTTACTAGTGAAGTCTCAGAAGTCACAGGCATAAAAACAGAAATAACTTCAACATCCTTTATAGTCCTCTTGTGTATGGTTCTGTTTGGGTTAAGATATTTCAGGCTTTATTACCAAAAACAAGAATCCAATTACTTACATCACAGATCCTGAATGCTTTTTGTTAACTGTCATGAAGCAATATGGGTTGCAGTAATGCCTACTGGAATGACAACTCTCTAAAAAATTAGACCTGATTCATGAGACCACTCTTTAACAACCACTAGCAAAAAGCCTGGAGAGAGGAATTTATGCACATACAGTGGTGCCCCGCATAGCGACGATAATCCGTTCCGGAAAAATCATTACTATACGGATTCATCACTATGCAGAACAAAGAAGCCCATAGGAATGCATTAAAACACATTTAATGCGTTCCTATGGGCAAAAAACTCACAGTTCTGTGAAAATCCTCCATGCAGCCACCATTTTCGCTGCCCAGTAAGCGAGGAATCCGGGCAAAAACACAGCGGGCGGCCATTTTGGAACCGCCAATCAGCTGTTCTTAAAACATCGCTATGCGAAAATCGGTGAGCGAAACACTTACCGATCATCACAAAGCGATGTTTTACCATTTAAAACATTGCAATGCGATCGCAAAAACGATCGCAAAAAACACATCGCTATGCGGATTCATCGTTAAACAAAGCACTTGTTATGCAGGGCACCACTGTAGTTGTCCCTAAGGCTATCGGATAGTTTTAAGGTCTGGAAATTATTGCTGCTAGTTCCTTCACAGCATGTGGAGGAGCTGAAGAAGGAATAACTGCTGGACAGAAACCACTGACGCCCTCAGGATCTTCCCTGTGCAATTTTGAGGAGAACAAGAACGGGACACACTTGACAGTACTTCAAAGCAAGTCCATCATTCTGTGCAAGCAAGCAATGCATCTATTTTGTCCTTATTGTGGGATGGTTTAGAAATTACCGTCATTGAACTAAAGCAACAACCATTCAGAAATCCCCTTCTCTCCACTGAAAATTGTGTCAATTAGATCGCTTTGCATGTCAATCAGGAAAAATCTAGTCAGACAAAGGCTACTTATTATTCTATTTTTCTGTCCGATTTACAGAAAAAGGAGTTGTGCTTGAGTTTCTTTAAAAGCTGTTTAAATTGTAAAGCATTATTAACAAGTAACCATTTAAAACTATCCAGAATGTTTTAAAGAAAAGGGTTGGTAACCTCTAACCCTTGCAACAGTGGGGAATGTTTAATATTTTACTGTGCTAACTTATATCAGTCTTTCGCAGAGCACCTGAAATATTGGAAAAATAAGTGGAAAAAATCATGTTGAAACACAGTGTCCAAGATGGCAGTAGTCATGAGGGGAAAAAGACGTGCACAAAGCAGGAACAAATTACCTCCAGATATCACTTCCTTTAGAAAACATGGACGACTTGATAACTTCGGGAGCCATCCAGGCATATGTTCCTGCAGCACTCATTTTAGTTGTTCTGTGCCACTCTCTAGCCAAGCCAAAATCTGTAATTTTCAGAGTTTTGTTATGGATATCATCATTCTCGATCTTCTCAAGCAAGAGTACTGCAAAGAGGAGGAAAATGGTTCAGCTGATTATTTTTATTAACTTCACACACAAGAACACAGAAGCATCATCTGTTTATAGCAAGTACTGATTCCAACACAAGACTTGTATATAACATGTAGCTATATTTATTGTGTTGCAAATTTATACCACAGTTTTTAAAATATACTGTAATAAATAAAATAGGAGGAACTTCGATTTCATTTTTAATAAGCAATTCAGGATACAATTCATTTCAGTAACTTTGTTTTCTTCCCACTGGGGCATATAGCTCAAGCAGATCACAGTAAATAACAGCAAATTTGGAAAATTGTCTTTTTCAGTTACCATTTCCAGAAGCCCCTGAGCTGGCAGGGCCATTTCAGATAGGCCAATAACTTTCCCCTCTGTCCTACAAGTGATGGTTTACATACTTGCAGGCTTGTGTGCTCCCTATCCCCTCATTCTTCACTGTAGATGCAAGAACATTTTATAAAACTTTAGCTTCCAGTTTCCATTGAAACTGGAAGCCAAAGTTAGCTAGCTAGCTCGCTGATTATGTCCCCAAAATAACATTTTTCCCTAGAAGTGGACTATCACGACTACCTTCTTCCATATGGTCTTTCAGTGAAAGACAAATTACACAAGTGCTAATTATTCAGCTTCAAAATAGTTTTATCCATTACAAGATGAAGCACCATCTCTTCAACTCAGAAGTTAAGTTTTGCCTCCCCATTAAATGGAAACATCTCAGGATCAACAAAACTCTCTCCCAGTTACTTTAGCCTTGGGTCTCTCCTGCAAGTATCTGGTGTTCCAGTCTCTTATCTGTATCTGACCTTCAACTACTGCAACCTCAAGTCCCAAAAGTAGCTAATAAAGAATGGCAAGGCCAGCCATTCCAACCTCTCCCCATAAGGAAGGTCAGTCAGTAACCTTCCAACAAGATATACATAGGTCAGGGTGTGCTTTCTTTGTTAACAATGCCTTGTTTCAAACAAACCAGTGTTAACATGTGGCAACTGGTCCATTCAGATGGCATGCTAACCTGCGGTTAATGGAAAACAGAAGTGAACGTTCCCAAACTCATCCTTCCTCCCGTTAGAGGACAGGAAAAAGAGGAGTGTTCCCCTACATTCATCCATGTTACACTCCACTATGGTTTAGCACAATGTTCAAACTCAGTCAATACTGAAGACTTAATGTCTCCTTTATGAACCTAACTGTTTTTATGGTCAAGTCTGTAGCTGGTTTACAAGAAAAGAGGATGAGACACTGTTGCTAGACTATACTACTGCACATTGCAATGCAGAAAAATTCACAGAAGAATGTTTTCAAATGTGGGAAAAATGTCCCTCCAAATTCAAAGCTGGTGTATCAGGAATGATTGAATTAGAACTCTGGTCATTATCTAACTATAATATCCAGTTAACCCTATTTCTGCAACAGCAACAACTATATTCAAACAAACAAGAGACAGCCACAGTTCTAAGTCTGATTTACAGAAAAAGAAGCTGTGCTTAAGTTTCTTTAAAAGCCGCTTAAATTATAAAGCATTATTAACAGGTAACTAGTTAAAACTATCCAGGGCTGAAGAATGTGTTTAAGCAAAGAGCTAGTAACCTCTAACCCTTGCAACAGTGGGGAACGTTTAATATTTTACTATGTTAACTTATATCAATGTTCCCCAGAGCACCTGAAATACTGAAAAAAGAAGTAGAAAAAAACTATATTGAAACACAGTGTCCAAGATGGCAATAATTAGTACTAAAGGAATGTCGTAAATGTAATGATATGAAAATGATGCCCTTTGTATTGTAATGAAAGGTCTATTGTTTCACAATTCTGTACACACAAAGTAAGATTCCACAAATTCCATGCCAGTCAGTCAGTCTGATCGAAACCAAACATAAAATGACTTGGAAAGGTAAAAACCGGCATCTAGCCAGGTTTCATTTTACCAAGAGAAAACAGCAGGCATTGCAGTTTTGGCTACCTACTTGACACAAACAGACTAAACAGGCTCTAGGCCTTGTGAGTGAACAAATTCTTGTGGTCTGTTGCCTAGCAACCTCTACTAGGCCATCTTCTTTCGACTTCTGCAGATATTTGCCCCTCATTAGCTTCATATCAAACAAGTGACCTTTACAACCTTGAACTTATTCTGTGCATTCAACCATACCTGACTGAAGTTCACAAAAAGCAGGTTGCTGAATGTGGTACTTACTATAAGACATATATTCAAGTGAGAACATTGCATGTAAACAACTTAGTAAAAACAAATTGGTAGAACCTGATCAAACCACAAATACTAATATTTGCAATTAAGACTTCAAGAACTGGATCATTCCTTAAAACCACATATTTACTTTGACTTCAAGAGAGGAAATAGCCTTTTTTTCAAATTGTATTCAGACATTTACATATTTTAGAGCATCAAGCTCACTTATCATCTAGAAAGCCAATATCTTTACTTTTTTGATTAAAGCTCCCAGAACCCACCAGCTACCAAGACCAGAAAGTAGTTTGTCCAAGCAATGCTCTTGCAAATCCCCCCACTCTTCTTTACTAAGCGTGTTTCATGCCACAAGCCTTCCTAGTACAACTAGGAACGTCCCTTAGGGGAAAAGCCAAGGTGAAAGGTGAAAACTAAAGGATTAAGGAGAACCTTGGTTGTGCAAGCTCATGTCTGGCCCCTGCAGTTTCAGACAGTAAATAGTAGGATGGGTGGATAGTTCAATGAGTTGGGTGCCTGCCTCTGGAACTAGATGTCAGGAGTTCGATTCTTCATTGTGCCTCCAGGGAGAAGATCCAGTCTGTGTGGCCTAGGGTAAACTGCACAGTCTCAGAGTGCCCCCAAAAAGAAGGGAATGGGAAATAACTTCAGAGATCTCTACACCTAGAAAACCCTGTAACTGACTTGACACCATGTAATTATTAAGCAAACTATAGCTTATCCCCCTTTTAGAGCTGGTCATAACAGGTTTCAGAGTGTAAGGTATAAAGTTGGATCATATGTATTCCAGTTGTTTCTGGTGAGCCATTAGAAGCAATCTAACCAATAGGGAAGAATGACTGTATAGCAGAATTCACTGGGTGGCAAAAAAACACACACCCTTATTTCTGCAAGTGCAGTATATTAAAGAGCAAAAAACAAGGTTACATGCTGCCAACACAATCTAAGTGGGGACTCATGGTGCGCTTTTCTGTCTTTCTAACTTTCAAATGAGATATTTCAGAATTTTGGTTTCTATATATTTATTTATATATGCACTCTTAATTCTTATACATTCAGTATGACAGACAACATGGTGCAGTGGATAGACTGACGGACTAGGATTCAGAGGACTGAGCTCAAATCCCTGTTTGGCCATGGAAACTTACTGGGAGGCCCCGACACACATATTCTCTGTATATGCTTGTATGTTTGAAATAAGTACGTAGTGCGATGTTTCCCACAGCGAAGGGGAACCACTGTAGTTTCCTTTCCTATGTTTATCACTCAGCATTAAAACAGCACTGGAATACATACATTTCATTGTGTCCACTGGAAAATTAATTGGTCCAGTAAACACAAATAATGCCTTGGCGGGAGGGTGGAAATCTAATGCAAAGCGCCTGTGGAAATTAGTGCAACAGAAACATGACAGGTCCGGCAGCTACTGGTCTTGTGCTGCTAAACACGACAGGAATGGCACTGTTGCCAACAGTGCAGTGTTGTTGCAACTGGGAATGGCTCAATCCAGGCCTAGAAGCAATTTGTATATCTATCTCTAAAACAGCCTACAAATGAAAAAGGACACTACATAGCTGTTTGTCTCCCCTTTTACAGGGAAGAGGAAATAAATGTTCACTATTCAGTCTATGTTAGACTAAAACATAAGAAATCAGAAAATCAAATATATTTCACTATGAAACTTCTCTGGGGAAAAACGTCCAAGGAAAATAGCTGTGATTTGTTTTTGTAGGAGGTTGCCTCTACAAAAAAAAATGTTTACACAAGCAAAGCCAAACAAAGCAAACTTCTGTTGAATGTTGTCCACATACCACACCACTCTATAAAATCTAACTCAGTCTTAAGAACTGGTAGCAACTCCAATTGTGCCTTTGACCATGAGCAACAGATTGTATAAAAGAATGTTAGAGGTAGGACAACTTCCCAGAACAAGATGTGTTGCTGTGTTTGTAGCCTGACTGGATTTTCCTATGAAATGAAAGTAGTCAGCCAAGGTATGTGACATGAGCGTCACAGGCCACCACATAAAGGAACACAAAACAGTTATGGATTTGCAATGCATATTCAGAACACACATGTCGACATGTGTTTCGAACCCTGAAAAAGCAGGACCCCTGTGCAGACTTGCAGTGCCTGTTACAGACATGCATTCCAATATGCAGCCCTGCTGTTTCCTCATCCATTCACTTTATGTAGAGGACACTTGGATGCATATCTTAATGTGATGAAAGGATTTGAATATCAGCGAAACTGAGAGAAACACCATCAGAGGCTAGACTGCATTAGTAACCCTGACTTCTAGAAGGTGCACCTGAAGTAGAAAGGTCAAAGCTGTGACACAAGACTAGTTTCTCTTCAAGAATTAACAGTCACATAAAGAAAAGAGAATTTATCATTCCATTGGTGATGAGGACAGAGGGGTTATGAAAAGCAGCTACTAGGCGGCAGCAGTGGTGGAAAGCGACAATCATGCATGAGCTTCATTGAGCTAGCTCTCGTTATTACTGCAAAGAACGCAATGGTGAATCTATCAGTAACTTATACATCAAAAACTCTATAATCAGCCGTGAACAGAGGCAAAGAGGAAGTCTGGAACTGCACAACACATATCATTACAACACAGAATGTGAGAAGTATTAATCAAGATAAATTCAAATTCATGAAACAAAAAATGGAAAGTTTAAACATTGTGATACTTGCTGTGACAGAACTAAAATGAACCCAAATAAGACATTTTCAACCATCAAGTGTTTTACTCTGGAAATTAGAAACTTACAGGAAATG